TGAGGATAGTATTTTTACTACCTACCAGAAAAGCGTTCTGTACAAGTCGTATTTTAAAATTGTTTTACTCAGAGTTTGGTAATGGTTTATATTTTTTGTTTTCTATATAATACTTTTTTAGTATCTTACATTTATTAATTAATCCTATTTTTATAATTTTAATGATTAAACAAATTATAACTTTTTAATAATTTTAGAAAAAAGAATATTCCATGTCTTGGTAATTATGCTAATTTATCAACTGCCCATTGTTGCTAATTGATTTTATTTTATTTAATAGTAGCAGGGTGGTATTAAAAATATTCAATTTTTGAAAGTATTCCATTATTTAAAAAATATTTAACTGTTTTAAGTTTTAACTAGGGCTAGGGACTTATAGGACTTTACATGTTTTCTAATATTTATATTCAAACTTAGCTTAGTGATATAGAAATCTGTTTCTTAATACGAGGAGTCTATAGTTATTTTTTTTGCATATTTTGCATATTTTACTTTTTTTCACGCGTTAGTGCAATTCTGTTAACTGTATTCTCGTTTTATACATATTTTTAAATTAGAATTTTTTTTTCTTTAAATTGGTAAAGAAAAATTAAATGTAGGTATAGTTATCTAAAAGAATGTTCAAAGAAATTATTGTGGGTTGTGTTTTCCTCGTCTGCGGGACTATTTATAATTTAAATTATGATCCACCGATATGATTTTATCAATTATAATCACACGCGATGTTATACATTAATACAACTATTGTCTATTAATTTGGGTAATAAATAATAATTAGTATTTATTCAATTAATTATAGAAAAATAAATAAAAAATTAGTAAATGGAATTTTAGACCAGCTTAAAAAGACTCAAAATCTGAAATATAAAGTGTTAACATAACTTCAATAAATTAATTTAATTTTTATACAACGAACATTTATGTATATTTTTTACAACATAAATTAATAATATTACCAATAAAAATATTTTTCTGATATTTAACGTACGTAGTCAAAATGTTTTGGTTTTTAAGGAATATTTTAAGGGTACATTTAGTAATTTTTTAGTGCATAAGTAAATTCGTATTTTAAGGTTTTTAAGGACACGAAGTCAGCTCTAGTTATAATTTATAAGTACATGTACTAAAAATCATAATTGGTTAAGTAGTTTATTTTGTTAATTAGTTTGTATTTAAGTGCATATTATACGATAATATGCGTATTCTATTGTAGATTTTACCATGTCTGAAATTCCCTAGGTCATTACAACTTTCACACGCCCTTGATTATATGGGGTAGGGTGAAAGTATTTTTTTTAAGTCGATATTTAAAACAAATGGTCTGAAGTTAGATCAATTATAGTATTCACATATTTTCCGTGCAAATCGTCTAACATAATACTATATTGTTACAACAGTTGAAACAACACTAAGAATGTTTAAGTTCGTATATATATATAATATGATCAACACAATAGTATTTGGTATGGTGTGACTCAATAGCCCGCAGTTTTTTCCTCCGCGTGCGCGCGTGAATAATAATGCGACGAAAATGAAAATGAAAGTGAAATATATATAATATATATATATTATATACACAATATACTTATATATTATTATGTATATATTTGTATCGCGTAATATTGTGTAGTGATCTTGTTAAGATTCGCGTTTGACCTACTGACATACATGGGGTATCTGACATTGGCCCACTTGTAGGACCGACATAATACTTATGTGAGCGTTTTAAAAAAAATATATATATAAATGTCTATTTATTTTCTATATTATCATTGATGTGGTGTATTATTCCGGCGTTATCTCATTGCTGCTGACCTTGGAGGTATAATCGTGAAGTCATTCCTGAATGTGCTACCTTTCCCACCTATTTTTTATGACCCACTTAAATTGCAAATTGATCAAATTAACTTAAAGCTATTTTGTGAATGATAGCCAATATTTGTTTTATATAATATTTCCAGTCAATTTGCATTCATGCAACATTGTTTTTAGGATGAAAATAATAGTAATAATATTTTAATACCTTCACCTCATATGTACAAGTTTGACCTTGGTACATGTGTATTAAAGGACAAATCTGTTATTATATACTGCAAAAGTAAGCACTGATTTTTGCAAAAAGATCATATCTTTCTCCAGACTTCCGAAAGATTCTCTTTCAAGGTTAAAAGTATCAAATAATATACCTATAGGTATTAATCAACAATTTGTTTTTAATATTTCAACATTCGCCTTGAACCAATGTTAATAATTACCTAACTATAGTTAAAATATTAATTTAAAAAATATATAGTACTTACTATATAACTATCAAATTAAGAATAAATTAGAAATTTCATTTTTAATATTATGTTGAATTTTAAATGAAACCTATAGTTAATTTATAAAATGTTATGAAAAGCCGTTTTTAGTTTTTGTCTAAAAAAAATATGATTTTTTTGTAGGATTTGGGTGAAATTTCTCGACCTGACCACAGACATTTTAAGATCTATATATGTCTAGGGTCAAGACCTATACTCACTTCTAAACTACCTCTGAAGGTGTGTCGTCAATAGGTTCACTCAAGTCACCAAACTACTTACATATAACATAATTTATGCTTATTAGTTATTACTTATTATTCTAAATTTTATAATTTATAGTTTTTATAACGATACTTAAAACAAAAATGAGTAAAATTTTAAGTTATTGTTAGATTTAAATATTTAATGCTGCAATGTGGTTTATGTATTTATATATTTTTTTTTTTTTTTTTAAAAAAAATCATGTTTTCAATAGTTTTACAATGAGCCAAGTTAATTATTTTCTATAATCATATCGTGACTATTTCATATTTTTTTTTATACCTATTTTATATTTATTAGGTAAACATAAGAAATATACCCTTAAAAAACTTAAGAAAAATGTCTACATACTACAGACTATGAACTATAGGAAAATATATTATTAAATTATTGTAGTTACATAATGTACCCATTAATAACAAAACCACGTAGTTATCTTACAACAAAAATTAATATAATATTATTTACATAAGTTAAACTTAAATAAAAGTCCTCCGAAGCCGATATTATTTAATGAATGGGGTATGGACTCAGGAAAAAGAGATTAATTTATGAATTCAAATAAACACCTAGACTTTAAACTATTTGGATTATGATTTTTGACCCAAATCGTTGACCATTGACCCTTTTCTTATCACAGCTGGGCACTATCTATTTATAAATTTGTTTAATAATGTAATTAGAACAAAAAAAAATTGGCAATTTATTATTGCGCACTTGGAGTACGTTCAAAAGAGTGTTGTGATATCGGAATTTTATAGGCGGGTTTTATAGATGGTACAGTTATTAAAATATGTTTTAAATAACACAATTGTTTTTTTTTAATTCGGAAACTATTTTGATATACCTACCTATTGAATATTATGTCCCTATAAATATATAGGTGTAATGTAGATACATATCATAACTATAGGTTTAATATCTATATTATGATATAATACATAAATGCTGGATTTTAACATAAGATTCTCATTTACTTTGAAAATTTTATTTTTTTTGTCATTCCATTTTTTAAAAAAATATCTATTTTGCAATTTTTTTTATTGTCATTATGTTTAATGTAATTAAATAATTTATAATTGCCGAGTGGAGTGGAGTGGCACAGCAATGGTACTCCGCAAAATGTTGGTCCACTAGTCCGTTCCTTAGAACTTTAAAACACTTTTTAAGAAAATGAGTATTTACCTATAAAATAATCACCTTATAATATATAAATAATTCATGATAGACTCGTTAGTCAATAGGTACTACTATTTTGGGAAATACTACGTACAATATAATATGTAATATTTTGCGGATAAATTATTGAAATTGTTATTGTACCTATATAAAAGTAAAAAAATCTTTTTTTTAACAAAATATCGTGACCTTATAAAAATACATATTATTGATTATATGTTGTAGTGGTGAATATTATACAAATTATATTTTGTATTAAAATAGAGCACATTTAAAAAAAAAAATACTTATTAAAATAATTTTGAGATATTATACATTTGTATTTGAATTGTATTGTATAGTTTTACGCTATAATTATATATTCTTGAAGAATTATCAAATGTTATGTTAAAGCCAAAAGCTTTAAAGATTTTATAATCATGGTAGGTAGTAGTAAAAAATATTAATATTAGTATTTATTTATAACTAATGTATATTCAGGAACTGTATAGTAGATAATTATGGTAAAACTAAAAACTAACATTTAAATTAATTTTCTCATAATCCAAACGTTCAGTTAATAATAATAATAATAATAATATAGTTTTTAAATAATAATTTCATTATTTCCACCTTTTGGGCGAAAAAAAGTACCTATATGACAATTAATTATATTCTAAGTTTAAATTTAGATGTTTTCTATAATTATCTTTGTGTACGTGACTATATTCAGCATGACGTATTTCTATATCATTTATTTTGGAATCATGACGATTCTTATTTATTTTTTATAAAAATTAAAATTGTTTACTTCATTGGAACTCTGCTATAATTTTTTGATTAAATGTATAAAAAAATATAATTTATATTAATTAATATATTAAATTTGACAAATAATAAGTTTTTTCGTTAAAAGAGCATCATTTAAAACTATATTTGAACAGTAAATATATTTGTAAATATAATATTATTATAGATTTATAGTAGATATAGGTAATAATAATCTATATGAAATATAATGTGAAATATACTTCAATGTTTTATTGATCTCTAATTTTCATGAGTTTTAGGTACCAATATTATATAAAAAGTATTTATTTGTACATATTATGTCCCCATAAGTTAAAATAGTTTTCTGTTAATTGTATGTTTGTGTTTTATTTTATAAATTATGTGTATTCCACTGTTAGTATACATTTTGAAAAATATAAAGATATTAACTTGTAATTTTTAATAATGGGTATCTATATATTATATCATAGTATTTACATTTTTCAGATCAAAAGTGCATGGACCTCAGTAATTTGAATGAAGAAGATCAAACATTCATTGAAGGTAATTTGCATGTTTAATTTATGTATTTAGTTAACATAATATGTAATACAATGTGTTTTATTAGTTATTTTATTGCTACCATTTTATTCGTTAAGTATTGCATAATTTTAATCACTTAAATCAATGCTTTATACACAATGGGACGTAACAATTTTATTTAACTGAGAAAACTATTGTTATAATAAAAACCATTACAGGTGCACTATCCTAAAAACAAAAACATAATTCTGACTGTGACATTGACTTTAAACAATACAAGCTTATAATTTCTATTTTCACTTTTTTCAGATTCGAAGTGCATGGACTTGAGTCATTTGAGTGACGATGATCCCAATTTCATTGAAGGTAACAGTGTTGAAATAATTAATACAATTTTTAATTAAAACTTATATTTGTTATATACCGAGAAATCATGTGTGCTGGGGCAGTTTGTATTTTCCCTTTGACCATACGTGTTTGAAATTATCGTAAATGCTATTTATTATGAAATCAGTTTCGTTGTTTTAATTGATTGTTGTCCGTCTGTGTATTATTATTCTAATCACAGACAGCGGATGAATGCGTGCAGTTATTAGCTCAAGGCTATAGCAGGGCCGCTAACATTGTGACTAGTGACCCACTTTTGAGCGATTCGCCACGATGTGCTCAGGCAAGGACGGCAAGGGCCCTCTGCTCTCCCCTTCCCCCGCAAATTTGTAATAGTGTCATGGCCGCTCCGATTCACCTAATTCAGACCTATTTTTGGACAGCCCTAAAATATATAAATTCTGGTGTCATTATTTTACAAACCGCTAAAATAATTGCAAAAATTGTGGGTGATAAAAGTAAAATGTCACCGCTTCAACTCTTTCTTACTGAATAATAAAATAACACCTTTATAAATTATTGTTCAATAATAATATAATGGTTAAGGGATAAAACTCTTTTGTTATTTTAATAATGTATACATATATACATATTTGTATACATACTTCTATGGTAATTGTATTATTCATCTGACCGCTTTTATTGCTTGTTGAAATCTTCAATTTAAGTATCCTTTAGCACGTGCTACGGAATACCTCTAAACCACTTGACGCAACAATAATAATTCAAATATTCGTTTTATAAATAGGTCTTTGGGTCAAACGGGGTCGTAAAAAAAGGCCGAGCATTGTGTTTTGAAATTCGGCGTGTAATTCAGCTATAAATTATTTACATGTTAAAGGGAGAATAAAATCGAAAATTTTGGAACGACGTACTCGGACAAGTAACGATTGGATAGAAAGCGAACTGACCAAGGACGCCGCCTCAATAAAACACTAAATCTTTACGCCCAGTTATTCAGACAACCGTAATAACGTCGTTAGGCGGCATCCCTTTAGTCAAGTTGGTTTTACAAAATGTTTTGTCAACAGTACCCTTGTAAATTTCTGGTTATCTTTTTGGGGATTTTATGTTGACAAGTCTTGAACTAAATGGTCTTATTAAATGACAACCGTTGGTAATAAATTTCGATGTATATGTCAAACGTTACTATGGTGTAGGTATACACAAATGGTACCTATATTTCAAATAAAGCCATAATTTAGGTTTATATTCTCAATAATTATATATATATATAGGCTTGCGTTTATAAAGTTTATATTTTATTTAATTCATTTTTAAATAGTAAATATATTTATATATTTCGTCAAACATAAAAATTATTTATTATTAAAGTATTGTTAAATTAAAATATTTAGTTTAATGCCAACGAGTTTTATTATTTTATTCATTGTATAATATTATACAATAAATAATATGAAATAGTTATTTGTATGTTGAATTTAATTTATACAGGTATAATCAATAACGGAATAGGTTACATATTTTTATACTTTTGTTTCATTCAAAGTCTTGTTAATATATATAATTTTAACTTAAAATCAACAACATAGTTTATTAGGTTGCTTTATTTTTTTCATTATTAAAACGTTAACCTCTGCAGAGGTATTAATTTAAAACATGTTTGATTTTGGCTTTTGACAATAAATCTGATATATTTTATATAAAAATTACGTTTGAAATAGTTATTTATAAATAGTACAGCTGATTTATAAATATATTTGTATACGCAAATTTAATTTAAAAACAAACAAATAATGATTTATTCCTTTAAGGATACCTAATACATAATTATTAATTATAGTTTTCAAATATTATTATTTAATTAATATATTGTATTAGTAAAAAAAAACTATTATAAACTGTTGAATAACATATCGAATTTTTAGTTGTAATGTGAATTATTTTTGTAGTCCTCAATAATAAATAATATAAAATATTATTGAAATAATGGATTAGCATTTTTAGTTTGTTAGTCGGTATCTAAGTTAGTACCTACTACTTTGTTTATATACTACTAATGTAAATAACCATACCTAAATCTTTGTATCTTTAAGGCATATTTTCATTGTTTTATGCATAATTCTTATACTTTGATATAGGCATTTTTTAAATGTTAAATTACCAACGTTGTAAGTATTTTAATATAGGTAGTATAGTATTATGGATAGCCTATTAAAAGTGTTATGATTTATATTCGTTTTCAGCAATATTTTCATTGTTAATTATATATTTGATTTGAGGTTATAATTACTAAATTTGAATTTTAAATTTTATTACTATCTTAATAAATATAAACGTGATTTATTGATATAAAACGTAGAACTATATCAATCTCCCATACTACTATTTAATATATTACTGATATAATGATATCTGCAGTTGATAACAATGATCATGTTAAAATTTCAAACACATTTTTAGTCATAAGTATAATGCATAATACTTATGACTTATAAGGACCTTTGGGTAAGATTAAATACTACTTAGAGTAAATTAAGATTTTGCTCAGAATAGTTCCATGAATTTATAGTTATCATTTTGTATTACAAATATATACTGTTTGTGCCTTGTTCCGTGGTGAGCGATGCGTGACAATCCACTATAACTATATTGTATTCTGACAACCTATCCATTCGTTGTTAAATAATATAAGTGATATATTGGATAAATGTATACATATTTTAGATTCTGAGTAGTGAAGTGTTGATTAATATGGGTTTACCATAACTTTTTAAAATTTAAATTTGTGTGTTCTATCAGCTTTTAGAGTAGTAAAAATGCTTCAATCTTCAACTATGGTTTTCTTGTAATAAATTGGATTTAGTTGAGATTTTAGAGTAAAAATTAATATTGTTCAAAATATGTGGGAGGAACTAAAAAAATATAAATGGAAAAACGGCATTACATTAATACATCAGTTTTCAACAGAATCGATTAAGTATTTTTTACAGTTTTGTACTTGTATGTTATTTTTTATCTTAAATACAAATTTTTACAACATATTAAGATTATAATTTTCTAAACATGACATTGTTTTCAAATATTTTGTATCTATTTGTACCACTTATAGTCGTTTGACATGTTTGATTTTCTTAATATTTTTTCGATAAATGCTGATACAAGTTTAGTTTCGTAATAATAAACCTAAAAATATAAGTAATACAAGCTTCCCAAAGTGTTTTTCTACTGGAAATTATAAAAAAGGTTTAGCATACCTACCTAAGTCTCATTTTTTTAAGACCGATTGTAGATCACATTTTGACAACATTGTGTATTCAAATAAATTATGTTATTTTATTATTATTCTAAAAATATTATTCGTATAAACTTGAAACATTTCACTAGGTATTAATCAAATCATAATTTTTTAGTTTTTTTTTTTCATAGTTGTTGATAAAAATGTTATGGTGTTTCAAAAAGCTTGAAAATCAAAAACAAGATTTCTCATAAATTCCAACTCATATAAAATATCGAAAATAAATAGACAACATTTTTTTTAAAAGCGTTTCAAGTTGAAATATTGGCAAAGTTCGTAAAAATCATGACAACTTGTTAATTATTTTATAGCTTTAAATGTATAATAACAGATCCATATTATTATATTAATAAGCAAGGATTGGCAATTTAATACAAAGTTTATCAGAATTTTTTCTCACATGAACCTAATAAATAATCTAAACTACCTATAACAATATATTATGCAACATTTAGTTGTACCTAAGACGATTTTATATAGTTATTTAAAAAATATTATTCTTAGAGACTTGAAACTTTTCCCATCACGTATATTACTTTATTTACTATATATTCAATGAAATTATTTCAAAATATTTAGATAAATTTTAAGCCATTTATACACACCATTCTTAGGTATTTGAATAGGAGCTAATATAATATTATATTGATATATGATTTTTTGTTGGATAAAATTAGTTCAACCGACTGTATTACTAATTGATAATTCAACTTCTACTAGCAATATAAGTATGATATAATAAAATATCCTTAGAAATATAGGATGGCAGATCGTATTTAATTAAATTGTTTTTCATTGTATACAAATATTCATAATTAATTCAAATTGATCACATCCATTACAGTGACGAGGTATACTCGAAATCTTCTATACTGCAGAGGAACTTCTCAAAATTTTTTTTAGAAATTAGAAACCAATATAGGTAGGTACCTATTTTCTGTTGTTTAAAATAAGACCGTATAATGTTATCTTACGCGTATATTATATTCCTACGTATAGGTGCGTGTCTTAGTAGCTACTAAAATGTTAACTAAATTAATCAAACCTTGCATGGATCATGAAACACTTATTTAAAATGTTTTTATTATGTATTCTATTATTTCGTGACAAGTTTCGATTTAGAATAGTTTTTTATTTTTATCGCTCTTTCCATTTTTGATGGTAGAAAAGAGGGCGGTGTTAAAGCCAGCGTCATTAAACCTCATCTACAACCGCAGAGTCATTACTATTCCCAGTGGCAAGTCGACCATAATATTATAACGGCTGGTCGAATGGTGGATACACACGGATAATAATTACCCGAAGAATCCCCGGGGTTGGTTGACCCGTGTGAGAATGAAAGAAAGAAAGCGCTTCGGCTTTCTGACGGTATACTCTAACAATGAAGACTGATGATGTCGGCCGATAAAAGGGACACGGATAGAGACCGAAGGTAGGGAAAAAGTACGTGTTCAATTTTTTCGGTCACGGGTAATAACCTTAGCCGTTGAAGACGATTGCTCCGGTTCAGGAATTCTATGTGTAGGGGTTCCCAAAAAATAGTAACAAAAAGTAAATACAAAAGTAATGAAATAATCGTATTTGGAAGTCATCGTAGTATACTTGTTCTAATATAGACTGTTGTAGTTTGTAGATTGAAGAATTACATAAAAATATAAAATATAATTATTGTTGATTGTGATAAGCTTTTATTCTCCACATATACCTTTATCAATCCGTT